TTTATGAGAATTATTAACAAACTGAACTCTACACTATATTAAAAAACTCTAACTGAATGTACATACGAGAAGAGGTCGCTACACTCAGCGACTTAAAATATACTATATGAATAAATTGTTTTCTGTGTTAAAAAACATACACCAAAATTCACTCAGAACATCCGTCATTTTATGTTCCGAACATCCAGTATTTTTTCGTTCCGAACACCGGTCACTTTTTGTTCCGAACATCCGTCATTTTATGTTTCGAGCATCCTGTATTTTTTCGTTCCGAACATCTGGACGGTTTTCATTGCGAACATCCGGAAAAACGATTTTATGTTGTATATCCGATTTCGAACATCCGGTTATTCGACCGGATGTTCGGAAGAGCAAGGACGAAAAAAGACACACCCGTTCTTTCTATGATTAAAATTTATTTTGATAAACGAAAAACGAATTTAGTTGATATCATAACTACAGTAAATTCTATATATAACTGACGTGCATAAAAAACTATTCTTCTCATCTATATTTATCGTTACTATATAGCTAACAGAAATGCTAGAATTCAACTGCGTAATTTACTTTTTATAAAGTTAATGAAGTTCATAATGAATCTATCAAGCAATCTAGTAGTGTTAGAAAATTGTAATAATTAAGTTATTAAGTGTAATATTAAAAAACGACAATCACTTTTTTTTATGTATGTTACATTATCAGATGCCATAAGTTGAAAGTGTACACTATAGATATTTAAATCGTATAACATTATCAAAGTAAATAGTTTCTAGTTAAATAGCACTATAAAAACATTCTTGTCTTGGTTTTTTGGTTAGTTTACGTTACTTATATTGAAAAATGAGGGGAAGGAGAATTTATGGAATATATGAAAAACTTAATGTGCATGAATTATACTGTTTAAGCGAATAGATACATAGAAAAAGAACGAGTCTAGAGAATAAATTGCCTGTCGTGTCCATAAAAATTCAAACAACTTGTCTGTCAAACATCTACATCATGTAATCATAGAAGATATGATTCCGGAAAGAAAAAAAGATGGTTGACTACTATGAATAAATGCTAGAAGCAAAAAGACATTGTAAGCAAAATAACAGAAATTTTCAATAATTACTCTTTGCATGAAATAGAAAATATCAAAAATAGCATATATCATTTTTTTTCTTTGATAAAATTAGAATAGCTTTTTTTTAGAAAAAAATTCAAATAAAAAAGTTTAAAAAAATGAATATTAAATTCATTAAAAACATAAAAAGAAATGAAATTGTCACTAAAACAAATGAAGCGTAAAGTCTTATGAGAGGTTTTTATTCTAAATTGAAATACATAGAGAACTCTCATTCAAAATATAAGTTTATTTTCCTTTTCATAAATGATGAGAAAAAATTACAATGGAGACTCAGATCTATTTTACTTGTTTAGAATAATAGTTAAATTAACTTATCAAAATTTTAATTTTCCAGATAAATGTTTTGAAGGTATTCAATAGTGAGAGATGTTTATTTAATTTGGAAAGAATAGTTTACAATATGAACGAAAAAATGATAATTTTTCATTATTTAATATGAGAATAAGATAAATTCATGGGTATTCAACTAATTACTTGAAAAAACTTTTATGCTCGTTAAGTGAGAAGTGATCAAAAAATAACTTTGACCGGAAATAAAGCTGTTGAAAGTCATTTAAAATAGTCAACATTTGGTGCATTTTCCCATTTGGTAAGGACTATTCAAGTTATTGTAATATTTGAAGCTCATATTTTTCTCATTAGTAGAAGATCATTAGACTAGAACAATCTCCAAAAAACTCTTCTTTCGATTGAGGTTTGATCAAATTATAAACGTTTCAAAACATATAGATTTTTTTATATATCGATAACCTTATAAAAATACTTTGTTTTAAACCAATCTAAATCATAAGTATGAAATATAAATGGTCCTCACTAAATATTTGGAGAAAACACTGTAAATCTTGGCTATTTCAGATGAAAGTCTGCCATTTTCTTTGACTAAAGTTATGTTCTGACCATTTCCCATCTAACTAGTATGATATAAAAAAAGACAATTTTTCTTAAAAAGTAGTTGAATACCCATCGATTTACTCAATGATGATTTTAAATTATTGCAAATTCTGACGTCAAAAACACAATTTTACAGATATAATATAATAAGATAAATGAAGCATTTATGTATTTGTTGTTGAAGCTTTCGAACTGTTAACTTTCATTTTACATTTACCCTTTGATTTAGATCATTAAGCTTAATATAGTGTGTCAAAGAATACAGATTATTACACCGAAATAAAATTGATTATAAAGGCACTTATGTTGTCATTGTAACTCTCAGAATATTCATTTCTTTTCGGAATCAATAGAAATCAATCATTACCGTCACAAAAGGAAAAAAAGAAGAAAGAACAATCATAAATGACGTCAAAAGTATAAGATTCTATTACTCATAATGTAAATCACTCTTATTAGAGTCGGTATTACAATTGTTATTGTTTCAGTATAGAATATTCTTATTTCGTTATGACTACTTGATGTTGTTTTTCTTTTTATCTGATTATATAAGTGTATTGTCTCTAGTTGATCGATGATGAAATAGATGAAAAAAAATAAAAGAAAAAGGAATATAATATTTTCTGACAATTTGATGGATCTAATTTTTAAAGATGTATGACAATTATTGTCGAAAATCTTTACTATTCATTTAGACTCAAACTTTCAGCTTGATTAAAATAAGAAAAATCTTATGTTATAAATCAATAGAAATTAATTATTTGACTAGAAAAAAAGACTTAAACAAATTTTTAGAAACTAAAATCTATAATTGTTTGTTCTTAATACTAATAAATATTAAAATTTAATCAAATTTGAAACTATCTTTGTTTTTGTAATTAAAATCAAGATAATTAGATGACTTGAAAGAATTCAAAGAAAATTAGATTATCAATGTAGTGATTCAAATAAAGAATAAAACTTGCTAGTACATATTTTAAGACATTAGTAAGCTATCAACATGCTTTTGTTACAGTTTAACAAGTATTTCATATTATTCAAAATTTCTTTTAGTCATTTTAATAAAATACCATGAAAGAAAATTTATTGCTAGCAGACGAGAACCATGATAAGATTTTCTTTGAGAAAAAAATAATAAGACAAACAAAATAGAAAAAAAACCTGTTATTCTTTAAACTTCATATTTTATTCGAACAAAAGTTTTCTTATTCTTTAATATTTAATAACAAAGGTGTTTGTTTTTCACTATTATTTATCACATGAAATATCAAGATTGAATTTTGACTATAATAGAAATATTTCAATGTGTTCTTACAAGCTTTATCTTAAGATTAAATCAAAACTTAGAATTATGATTTCAATGCACATATTAATACAAGAAAAATAGAGAAGAGTATTGTCTCATTTATTTAAATAATTAGTTCTATTTTTAGATATATGTGATGATAATATATATTATATATTTCTTTTTATTCTAAACACATTTCTAATCTTTTTTTTTCATGTCTACAGTTTTCTTTTTTTCTTTTAAATAATGGAATGAAAAGCTTCTATAATAATTGAAAATTTTTTATCCAGAAAACAAACTATTGAACAATATCAATAAAGATTATTTGATTTATTTTTAATGAGAATGCTTGAAAGATTTATTTTCAATTGATATGATTAAAAATATTCTGAATATTCACATAAGTTTATTTCTATTATATATATATATAACAACAAAAAAACTGCTATCAGTTTTTAGTGCACACCGTACTAAGCAGAAAATAATCAATAGTTTGAAGCCTTACATATGAAAAAAAATAGAGATTTATCTGAGAAATTTTTCTTTTTTTGATTAATTTAATCAATAATTAAGATTGTAACTATGCCTTATAAGTTTATAGATAAAAAAGAAATTTGATCAAGAAAGTTTCATTTTTTTTTTGTTAAAAACTAACTTGTTCATATGATAAATATTTTCCAGTAGATTTAATAAATTGATTATTGTTCAAGAAGAAAATACTTTCTATAAATAGATTCAATGAAAAATTCGATTATTTCTCTGATTTGACATGCAGTTCCCTAAATCGAATATATATCGATATGTTGATTTATTCATGTTTAATCGTCCATAACAATCAAGAAATTATGACTGTATTTTATTATTATTGATGAGTGAATGTTTTATTTTTTATTTCGATATTGAATAATCCAATATATAAAAATTGGCTTTTTTTATTATATAATGAACATTGAGTTAATAAAAAAAAAAGACATTTTTTGTTTTTTATGTCTCTTGAGTATTTTAGTATTTACCCCAAGGACACTTCGAAAATCATCAATGTCACACTTGAGATCAATAAGATAAAACAGAAAATTTTTTACTTGTTTCTAATATGATTTTATGTCGTATATCAGTCGATTGTCTTTTTTATTTTCTTAAATGTTCCATGAAAGAACGACAATAACACGAAAGAGACAACAAGAGAAGCCCACACATACATAAACATATACTTAAAAAAAGAAAAAAGTTCTCATTTCTTTTTTTTCTCTATATACTGTAAAATTGATCATCTTTCTCGTTCTTCGTCAATTTTGTATGTCTCTGTAAAAGACTTAGTCCGGTTCTTTCGTCTAAGTTCTGGTGTTCAGTCATGTCTATTGGGGAATCACATCAATAGAACGAGAAAAGAAAAGGGCGGGCTTGTTCCGTTGTGTGTTTCCAGCATCGTGGCACAAAAAAAAACAGAAGCAGAAAGAAAAGACGAAGAAAAAATAGAGATCGTTGAACGTGTTCTTCTTTTTCTCATCAGCCGGCCCGAGCGCAAAGCAGTGCGTGTGTCAACAGCATTTTATCTTCTTTGTCTGTGTCTCCTTTTTTTTTTCTTCTTACTGTGCACACTGTTCCGTGGTCTTATATTTCAAGGCGCATGTTTTTCTAAACGAGAAAGATATAATAGTTAGATAATCTTGTGAAGATTCAAAAGCCAAAGTCATGGGTGATTTCAATAATGTATCTGCTATGCTCAGGGCTTTGAAAGAAGGTGGTAATTTGGCAGCATTAACTGGTGGTGATCCACATAATCTTCATTCGGGACGAACTGGTGCATGGAAAGCTAAAATAAAACAGTATGCTAAACAAATTAATTCATCTCATCAACGTTCATTATTTATTTTTTCAAAAAATAATTGGATACGAAAACGAGCTAATGATGTTATTGAATGGAAGTAAGTTTTTAAACTAATAAATCTAGTGGTAATCAAAAAGATTTTTCTTTTCATATTTATTTTAGTCCTTTTGAATATATGGTGCTATTAACAATCATAGCTAATTGTATTGTTTTAGCACTTGAAGAACATTTACCGCATGATGATAAAACAACATTAGCTAGATCATTAGTTAGTATTCATTTGAAATGAATAATAATTATTATTATTATTATTATTATTATAGGAAAAAACTGAAATTTATTTCATTGGAATTTTTTGTTTTGAAGCTGCACTAAAAATAATTGCTCTTGGTTTTGTATTACATGAAGGTTCATATCTTCGAAGTCTTTGGAATGTTATGGACTTTATTGTTGTTGTTACGGGGTAAATAACAGAAATAAACGAAAAAAAAAGCACTTATCTCTTTTGATCATTTTATTCTTTGTTGTTTTTTGTTTATAGTTTAGCAACGATTAGTATTAAAAAAGATAGTTCATTCGATTTACGTACATTACGTGCTGTACGTGTACTTCGACCGCTTAAACTTGTCTCAGGCATTCCAAGTTTGTTTCATTTGTAATAAAAATAAAAACAAAAATCTATATAAGATTTCTATAGGTCTTCAAGTGGTGCTTAAATCTATATTAAAAGCCATGGCTCCATTGTTTCAAATAGCTCTTCTCGTTCTTTTTGCTATTATTATCTTTGCTATTATTGGCCTTGAACTATATTCAGGCGTCTTTCATACAACTTGTTTTTATGCAAATCGAACAGGTTAGAATTTAAGATTAATTGAAAATTTTTTCGTTTATTTTTTCATAATCATTAATTTAAAATACAAAGTATTAAAATAATGAAAATTGAATTGAGTACTATATTGACAGAAAAAACAAATCTCTATTACATATTGATAATAATTAATAAGTAATTATTTTAGCCTCTAGAGATTTACGTTATTATATTTCCTATATAGCATATATATCTATGTAAAGCTATTTCTTATTCTTTTTTTTAGCTACTGACCATGATAGTGACGAATGTGAGTTAAAATTTTCTTCGTTTTTTTTTAAAATATGTTTTATATTACTTATGTTTGGAACTTTTAGTAATGTATAAAGGTGATGATCAACAATCAACAACATGTGGAATACCTGGAGGTAAATTATTGAAGTTTTAAAAAAATGAAAGCAATGATTTTTGAAAATATTTATTTTTAATTAGAACCAATATGGGGTTGGTTAAATATAAAACATGGTGTATTTACATGTAATATTCCAAATGAATCACTTATTTGTCGAGAATATTGGGAAGGACCTAATAAAGGCATAACTAGTTTTGATAATATTGGTTTTGCTATGTTAACCGTTTTTCAATGTATAACTATGGAAGGTTGGACACAAATATTATATTGGGTATGAAGAGAAAATTATTTGAATGTAAAAGATAAGTTTGTTTTTTGTTTTTCCAAATTTTGAAGACAAATGATGCTGTGGGAACTTTATTTAATTGGCTTTATTTTGTACCATTAATTATTCTTGGTTCATTTTTTATGCTTAATCTTGTACTTGGTGTTTTGAGCGGGTAAAAATTAAAATGTTTTTCGGTGGTTTTTTAAACTTTGTAATTTATTTTTCGTGAATAGAGAATTTGCAAAAGAAAGAGAACGTGTAGAAAATCGTCGAGCTTTTTTAAAAATTCGTCGACAACAACAAATTGAACGTGAATATAATAATTATATTGAATGGATTAACCGAGCTGGTAAAAATAAAAAAAGAAATAATTTTATTTTTTATAATCAAAAATAAATCAATGTTCTTGTGTTTTTCTTTTGCATAGAGGATGTCATTTTAAATGAAGAACGAACTACTGAACAAGAAAGACGTGCTATTCATGACGGTAAATTTATTTAAGAAAAAGAAGAAAATATGAGATTTTTAAAATTATTTAGCTCGGAAATATGCACAATTAAAAAAAAGTCGACATCATCGAGTAGGAAAACAGCAGAGTGTAGATGACGATGAAGAAGATATTGGTATGTATTATTATAAATGTGTATTTTATCTAATTTAAATTTTCTAGACAATGCATTTAATCGTGGTCGTGGTACAGATATTGAACGACCTGATCGACCACGAACTTTCATGCGTCGATGGCATATTCAACAACGTGTGATTAAGTAAAAACAAATCTAAAAGAAATAAATAGAAAAAATAATTAATCATGTTTATTGTCATATCTAGAAGTAAAATTCGTATATTAGTTAAAACTCAAGCATTTTATTGGACTGTTATTGTATTGGTTTTTTTGAATACTGTTTGTGTTGCTATTGAACATGATCGACAAAAACAATTTCTTACGGATTTTTTATGTATGATAAATTTATTTGAACATTAAAAAACATATGTTTTTATAAACTTTTATTTTTAAAATGTAGATATTGCTGAATTTATTTTTCTTGGTTTATTCGTATTTGAAATGCTTTTTAAAATGTATGGTCTCGGTGTTAATCGATATTTTGCATCATCATTTAATATATTTGATTTTGTCGTATGTTTTTTAGTCTTTTTTGTAGAATTTAATTAATTATTTTTTTCTTTTAAGGTTATTTTTGGTTCAATATTTGAAGTTATTTGGACACATTTTAATCCAGAAGAATCTTTTGGTGTTTCAGTTCTTCGATCTTTACGTCTTTTAAGAATATTTAAAGTGACTAGGTTAGTATAATGAAAAAAAATCGGATATGTTAGTGCAATTATGAATAAGAAAAATCTCGAAGAAGATTCTCTTTTGATTATAGAATTCTTACAAAAAGAAAAAGAATTGTAAATTGTAATTATTTTTAGCTAAGTATCTCGAAAACTATCACACTGATAATACATTACAGGTACTACTCAAATATTTAAGTATAGTTATAAATGAGATCAATCTATTTTAATCTTGATTCTAGTAAGCCGAAAATTTGAAGTACTTTATTAATCGATTTCGAAAAGACTTGCAAATTATCCTATTTCTAATATTCTCTTCGAATTTGCTCAATCAGACATTAAAAAATTCTTTTATATAATATATTACTTTATTCACAAGAAGACCTCATTAAAAAGTTTCCGGTTGTTTCTTTTAATAGCAACAAAAGCTAATAGTCATCTTAATGATTCTTACCGGAAACAGTCCAAAAAGATTTTCTTAATACACAACAACTCACTGATGTTTCTCTTAGAAAATACATTCGAATAATAACAAAATCAGTATTTATTCATAATTATTCTAATAATTCTTTATTAATCATTATAAAACTATTTTAAATTTTGATTAATATCAATAATTCTTCTATTTTATTTTTATTTAGACATTGGGCATCTTTACGAAATTTAGTTGTATCACTTTTGAGTAGTATGCGATCTATTGTCAGTTTACTATTTCTTCTATTCTTATTCATTCTTATATTTGCATTATTGGGCATGCAATTATTTGGTGGCGAGTATGTTAATCTTTTTTTTTTCTCGCTTGTTACAATTTTACAATTACTATTGTATTTTTTTTTTGTATTATCATTAAATAGATTTAGTTTTGAAGATGGAACTCCATTACAAAATTTTAATAAATTTGCTACAGCATTAATAACTGTCTTTCAAGTAAAAGATCAATGTTTTTTTTTGTTTTTTTTTTGTTAAAAAGATTTATTTTTTTTTGTCTTAGATTTTAACTGGTGAAGATTGGAATGAAATTATGTATAATGGTATTATATCTCAAGAAGATGGAGCCAATGGCATAGGAATGATCTATTCTCTTTATTTTATTATTCTTGTTCTATTTGGAAATTGTAAGTTATATCGAAATATAGTTTTTATTTTAATTTATATTAATATTAAAATCATTAGATACATTATTAAATGTCTTTTTGGCTATTGCTGTTGATAATTTAGCTAATGCACATGAATTAACTAAGGATGAAGAAGAAGAACAAGCAGCTGAAGAAGAAGTAACTAGCATTAAATTGTGTTTTTTTTGAAATATAACTTCGAAAATAATAATAAATATATATAAAATTATTTAGAAACGTGAACGTGAAACCAAAGATGTTGAATCTATGTTTAAGTTAGGTTCACTACCAACAGATACAGTGACAACAACAACGACAACAACAACACCGAATCTAAAATCAAAAAAACCAGAACAAGATCCACTGGTGCCTAGAAATAATCTTCAACAAACGTATATCCATTTAAAAAAATTTTCTTTTTTGACCTATAAAAATATTTCTTTTCTTCTTTTGTAGTACAAAAAAAGACTATGTTGAAAATGCTGTTAAAACAGCTTTTGATATTCAACCATCACCACATTATAATTCATCAAGTTCAAAAACAAATACAGATTTTTTAGATAGACAATTATTTGAAAAAGCTGATTTAGATTATATACCTGGTTTAGATTATGATGTTGGTCCAGTTTATATTCCAAGTAAAAATTATTTGTTATTTGAAACAAATAAAAATTTGTCATACTTTTTTTTTTTATAGCATCATTAGATAAATTACCAGGACTTCAAGAATCAACTGCAGCTGCAAAAGCTCGTGCTAATGAAGAAGCAAGAAAAAAAGCAGAAGCTGCTGCAGCAGAAGCAGATGCTAAGAGAAGAGAACAAGTATCACGTGTTGTTAAACCTATTCTTCCACATAGTTCAATGTTTATTTTTAGCCCTACTAATCCGTAAGTGACAAGAATATTCAATTGAATGTATTGCCTATTTTTATTTTTAGGATCCGTCGATTTTGTCATTTTATCGTCACTCTTCGTTATTTTGAATTACTTATTATGATTGTCATATGTCTGAGTTCAATATCATTAGCTGCTGAAGATCCTGTACATGAAAATTCTAGTCGTAATCATATACTTAATTATCTTGATTACGCATTTACAGGTGTATTTACTGTTGAATTATTGCTCAAAGTTAGTTTCTTACATAATAAATAATTAATTTCTAAAATCTTTAATTATTTTAGATTGTTGATTTGGGTGTTGTACTTCATGAAGGAGCATATTGTCGTGATGTATGGAATTTACTTGATGCACTTGTTGTTATATGTGCATTAGTTGCGTTTGGTTTTACGTAATAAATTTTTTATAACTAAGAAAATATTTTTAGAGATATAATTGTTGTTGTTTTTTTTTCTTTAAAGGGAAAATGGAGCTGGAAAAAATTTGAATACAATTAAATCTTTACGTGTTCTTCGTGTGTTACGTCCATTAAAAACAATAAATCGTGTACCAAAATTAAAAGCTGTATTTGATTGTGTTATTACATCATTATCTAATGTTTTAACAATATTGTAAGTTTTTTGTTTTATTTTTAATATGATTATAATTTAAATCAAAAAATAATAATAACTATTATCATTATTATTATTATAGAATTGTTTATATGTTATTTCAATTTATTTTTGCTGTTATGGCTGTACAATTATTTAAAGGAAAATTTTATCGATGTTCTGATTTATCAAAATTAACGCCTGAAGAATGCCAGTTAGTATTCAATAAAAATTTTCTATTTGGTTGTATTTAATTAGAATATTTTGTTTGTTTGTTTTTTTAATAGAGGATTTTATTTTGATTTTGGTACTGGTAAACGTAAACCAGATTGTCGAAAAAGATCATGGGAACCATATGATTTTACATATGATAGTGTACCACAAGCTATTCTTACTTTATTTACTGTTCAAACAGGTGAAGGATGGCCAACGTAAGTCTATTTTAGTGATTTTATATTGAATAAAGAAAAAAATTTGTTTTTTTTTCCTAGTGTCTTACAACATTCAATTGATGCTACTGGTATTAATCGTGGTCCTCAACCTGGTCATCGACTTGAAGTTGCAGTTTTTTATGTTGTTTATTTTATTGTGTTTCCATTTTTTTTCGTTAATATATTCGTTGCTTTAATTATTATAACATTTCAAGATCAAGGACAAAAAGAATTAGAAGAAGCAGAAATTAATAAAAATCAAGTAAGTTAATATTAGTTTTGTTTTTATTTAATTTAAGTTGATTGCTTTTCTAAGAAATCATGTATTGATTTTGCATTGAATGCTAAACCAATTCAACGATGTAAACCAAAACAAGAAGGTTCATTACGTTATCGTATTTGGCAATTATGTACATCATCATATTTTGAATTTTGTATTATGGTTATGATTGCACTTAATACTTGTGTACTTATGGCAAAAGTATGTTATAAAATATTAATACGTGATAGAGTCATGAGATCTGGATAGATAAGCGCTAGAACAGATACAGACTTGGGCAGACTCCTATTATTGTAAAAATTTTATATTACTGTTTAATTATCATTTTCTTCTGATGAATGACTCATTATTATAAGGTCAATTCATATTAAGCACTGGTGGTGCAGCCATAAGATTTGGAAAAGTGAAGACTAACTCTAAATTCACATTTCGTAGACTCAAACACTTTTCTTCTTCCATCAGGTTAATGGGTTCGAGCAGTGCATCATATTTTTTGTATAAACAACATTATTCTTCGTCGCCTCAGGCAGCTAAGATTAACGTTTTCTCCATCAAGTAGACTTAGAAAACGTTTCGGAGAAAATATTGAGTGCTATACAAGTAAATATTGGATTATCAATCGTTAACTGTACGAAAAATGTCAACCAGAATAACTAGGATAATCTGTCAAAATTTTTTTTCGCCGTTCGGTGACTAACATTATATAACTTCCAACAGTAAAGAAGCATCTGTTTTTCTTTTCTCATTTCGAGATTCGTTTTTTTGATCGCATTCCAGTTAAATAATACGTTTAGAATCAAAACTTTTCTATAAATATATATGTTATGGAAAACATACTTTGGATTTTTTTAATTTCTTCTTTGTTTTAGTATTATCGAAGTCCACCAACTTATAATGATATATTAACATATGCTAATACAACATTTACAGCTCTATTTACTGTTGAAAGTATTCTCAAAATCATTGCATTTGGTTTACGAGTATGTTAATTATAATAAAATAAACTATATTAAAAATTTAATTATAGAATTATTTTCGTGATAAATGGAATGCATTTGATTTTATTACAGTACTTGGTAGTATTGCTGATGTACTTGTTACTGAATTTCGAGTATGATTATACAAATAATCAAATAAATATTTCTTAAATTATCTTTCTTTTAGTTAACAAAAGTAAATGTTGCTCTAACAGCTGGTCCACAAAAACATAAAGTATGAATTAGAATTTATCAGATAATGATAATTGAATTCGTAGTCTAAGAAAATCTAAATGTATCAGTAAATTGAAATTATTGCTAACAGTTTTTTTTTATCATAATTGGATAAAGCTTGTTGAGTTATCTCTGAAAAATTTGGGATTTTAAGATAAGCAACCAATGTTCTTGTAGCAAAAATTAGATCCAAAAACTAGTCGGAAATATCTATAAAAATTGATATATATTATTCTTGACGAGTAAAAGCAAAAATAATGCGGATTAATATTAAAGCCATCGAAACATGATGCTTTTGGTGTATTTCAATTTTTATAGGCTTTTTTAATTTTTTTTTTAAACTTAATTTCTCAGTTTCTCTACTAAACCATTGTTCAAATATACTAAAGGTAACATTTTTATTGGTAACTCGAAGAGCTCTATTCAACCATCATAAAAAAACGACAAAAAAAAATCTTACTCAAATTTCTAATTGCCTGCACCTTCTGAAGTTAATAATGACATCTAATTATGATTAAATTCCTATGGAGAAAAAGAATTATTTTTACTATCGAAAAGAGTTAGTTAGCTGAAGTCAGGAAACCTTTGTCGAATTCAATTACAAAGTTGATAGTGTTTCATTTCACGTTGCCACAAGCAGGGTTGTCTGGAGCTGGAGTGGGAGTAAGACTCCTGGCCCAGAAGTAACTATAATTAAACATTTTCTTTTCAAACATAATATAGAAATCTAGATATATCAATTAAAGTGTTAAATTTTATTAAATTTTATATTTTATTTATAGAATACATTACTTAATTTGGGTTTTCTTCGTTTATTTCGTGCTGCTCGTTTAATAAAACTTCTTCGTCAAGGTTATACAATCCGTATTTTACTTTGGACATTTATGCAATCATTTAAAGTATTAAAAAAAAAAAAAAATTTAAATTAAAAAAACTTATTTTATTTTTTTATTGATATATAGGCTCTTCCCTATGTTTGCCTATTAATTGCAATGCTCTTTTTTATTTATGCTATAATCGGCATGCAGGTATAATATATTTAATTGTTTTTTTGCTTAAGTTACTAGTTTTCAGTAGTTTAATAAATTATTTCTAATGAGTAAAAAAAAACGAAAATTTGATTTAACCTACAGATGTTTGGTAATATAAAAGTCGATCATGGATCGGCAATACACAATCACAATAATTTTCAGAACATTTTTCAAGCTACACTCGTCTTATTCAGGCAAGAGGATCACATCCCTAGATCATATTTATTTCTATTCATATTTTCATGCAATGAATTAGAGAATATTTATTTATTTATTTATTTATTTTATTTATTTATTCATATAATTTCTTATTTTTTCTTTTCTCGTCATGTGATAGTAGTGATTAAGTTTAGTTTTTTATTTTTTATTTTTATTAATTTTGCATGTGATTATAATTTTGTTTTTTTTATTTAAATATAAAAATATAAAGGTTTTTGGAAATGTTCGTCATGACTCGGCTCAATCCGAGATAAATCGACACAATAATTTTTCCAATTTTTTCTATGCTTTACTGCTCTTGTTCAGGTATTTGTGATTGTTGTCGCTTATTTAGCTTCTTTTTGTTTTAAGAATATTCTTTTTTTTGTCGTTTTTGTTTTTATTTTTGTATTTTAAATCTATGGATAATATTTAGATGTGCAACAGGTGAAAGTTGGCAAGCTGTTATGTTAGCATGTAAAGCTAGTGTTGAATGTCATACATCAATTCATCATCGACCATATCAAAATACAGTAACAATATATCCTAGTTCAACAGCAGCATCATCATGTCTTTCAGCAACACATACGAGAAATGATCATTCACAAAAAAATTGTGGATCAGATTTTGCATATCTTTATTTTTGTTCATTTGTTTTTCTTTCATCATTTTTAGTAAGTAAATTTGATAGAAAAAAGAAAATAAAATAGATGAAAGATTAAAATAAATATTTATTATTTAGATGTTGAATTTATTTGTTGCTGTTATTATGGATAATTTTGATTATTTAACAAGAGATTCATCAATATTAGGAGCACATCATTTAGATGAATTTCTTCGAGCTTGGTCTGAATATGATCCAGATGGAACGTATGTTATGTTCATTTGAAAATTTGACCTTTTTTTTTTGTTAAATTCTTATATAAAATAGAGGAAAATTGGAATATACAAAAATGTTTGAAATGCTTCGACTTATGTCACCACCTGTTGGATTTGGAACTAAATGTCCATCAAAATTAGCATATAAGGTATGTAGATATTTATATATTAAATTAATAAAAACACAAGAGACTTTGTCGTGCTCTTCATCTTGATGTACTCTTTCATACACAGAAAAAAAGCAATCGGCTAGAATGAAGCTCTTTCGAGAATTCTGAGATGCTTGATTAAAAAAGCATAAACAGAGAGAAAAAAAACGAAACAATTTTCTTACCTTTTTGACAACAGTATATTTCTCAAGAAGATGCTGACAGAAATCATCAACTATTTTCATAAAAAAAAAGGTTAATTCTAATGAAAATTGACTATTTTTAGTGTGACGTGTTTAAACTATATTCTAAGCTATAGTTTTATTACTTTCTATTAAAACCAGATATTTGTTTCCCATTCTTTGTTATTGCATAATTAATTAAAAAACTAGAATATTTAAAATTTTCATTTAAATATTTAGCGTTTAATTCGTATGAATATGCCTATTAATGATAATCGTCAAGTTCATTTTACGACTACACTCTTTGCATTGATTCGTGAATCACTTGGAATTAAAATGCGTGCTGGTAAATTTATTATTATAATTTTCTTTTTTCCTGGAAATAATATTTAATTAAATATTAATAAATTTGATTTAGCTGCCGAAGAAATGGATGAAGCTGATAATGAATTACGTGACGTTTTATGTAAAGTTTGGCCTAATCATGCAAAAAAGAATATTAAATTACATGAAGGTGGAACAAGACCATTACTTGATCTCGTCGTACCACCTAAACATGGTAAGAAATAAAAAAAAGAAAACGCAAACTAAAAAGAAAACAATATTCATATTTTTTCCATTAGAATTACATGGTACACCAGGTCATCCTAAATTGACTGTTGGTAAAGTTTATGCAATATGTTTGTATATTGATAATTATCGTTCGTATAAACAAGGACATACTAATGATACTGTAAGTTAAAATTAAAAATCATTCTGTATTTACATTTTATTCGCGCTTTGTGAATATATCGAAAAAAGACGTTAATCGTTCATATTTTCAAAGTATATATATGTATATGTATAGATGACGAGCGAAAGCAGCAGTAGTCTTGTATTACTGTCAACTGATGATGAGGTCAGTTATGCATGGATGCATGCTTGCGGAATATCAACATTTTTTTATTTTATTTTAATTTTAAATCGATAGAAAGAAAAAAATAATATCTTTCGATTAAAAAAAAACCTATGTCATGTGTTTAATTCTTTCTCTTTTTTTTTTTTATTTTATTTTTCTTATTATGAGAAATTTTTTAAGCATGACTATCTCCGTTTTCCTCTTTTTTCATTTTTTTTTATTTATTTATTTATTTATTTTCCTTCTATCTTATTACTATTCCCTTATAATTAAGTCATGTTTAAATCGTATAACTCAACCCTTTCGTTTTATTATTCTTCTTCTTCTTAATATGATAATTTTTTTTATTGATTATTAATATATGAAATAATTTTAATCTTATTTATATTAATAGGGTTTCAATTTGAATCGACTTGTATCAGCACTTAAAGAACGTGTTCATTCAAAAGAAGGTATCAATGAATGTGATTATGATGGAAGACGATCATCATTTCGTCCATCGGGAAGTTTTCGTCGATCAGGAGGAAACCGATCATCGGTAAAATTAATTATGTTCTGTTATTGAAATCGATGAAAATCTTCTCTTAGCAAAAAATAAATAATAAGATTATTGTAGAATTCTATAGAGGTATACTTTTTTCCAAGAAGAAAAAAATACTTTTCAAAGATCGGCTTCACTCTAATAAATTTCTAATCTGATATTCAGACAAAGGGAGAGAAAGACTGGAAATTAAATACAGTCTTTTCTGATTGAATAGTACGATGGGTTTTTTTTTCAAATAATTTTATAAAATTAAGTCCTAAATTTTTTTCATAACAATTAGGACTTGATAGTTGAAAAAATTGTTCCGTCAATCTGGAATTTGAGATTCCTACTGACGAGAGAAGTATCTAAGATGTCCACCTCCATTTTGATTCATTCCTACCTTATTCAATAGATTACCTTGGAGTAAGACGAATGTTTATAAAGAGTTTAGGCTTATGATCTAGTAGTGAAGAATTATGACCATTTTACTGAACTTTGGTCTATAAATAAATTTCATAGCCATTAGAAAGTCGTGGAAGTTTCAACGAAAATAAATATATCTTTCTCAAAATATTCGATTTTCAAGGAATAAAGACTAAAATTTATTTCAAATAATCATCGCTTGATTGAATTGCATATTTTTTCTCTCATGTGCATAGTTGAAGCAAGATTTCTAATCTAATTTCATAGAATTATAATTTTTCGGGTACTAAAATTAAGAGATTGATTGATTTATAGGAAAAAAAATTAATTAATAAACACATTGTTTTTTTGTTCAGAATTTTGAAAATATGTTTTTGGGTAAAAATAAAATTTCTACAAATCGTCGACAAAGTAATGCAATAGAAAATGGATATATTAATTCAAAACCTCCAAATGTATTAAATGTTGATGAAACAAAACGAACAAGTCCACAAGTTACAGATAGTTTTCAAGCTCAACATCACTATGGTAAAACATTAAATGTACCAGATCTTAATAATGTACTTCATGCTTTACCAATTGCTACACCACCAGCACCATTAAATGCACCTCGACCAGCAATAATGACAACACCAAAATCATCAATGATTTCTGTTAAACATCCTCCAACATCAATTGCTTTATCACCAACTGAAACTCGACCATTATTACTTGTTACAACAGATAATGATCAACAACAACCACAAACAACCATTGTACCTAATGGACGTCGTTTACCTTTAAATGGTCAAATAATACCACCACGTGTAATATCAACTAAACAATCAACAACACCATTAAATACTGATCATCAAAACATTCGTGAAACAACAACAGAAAAAATACCAACAAAAAAATTTATACATAATCGACCACGAACAGCATTATTTTTTTCATCTACAAGTATGAAGAGAAATAAAAAGCACAAAAATCAGAGTTGGGCGAGTTGAGTCAAGTTATTTATGTCATTTTTACATTTTCTATCTATTTTTAAAAAGGACATTAAGAACAAGTTTTTCATTACATGATATCTAATTAAAGAAAGTCCTAAATGGAATAAAATACAAAAATAAGCTTTAGTAAAACTTTAATGATGTGATGTCATTGAAAGACAACTTTGAGACGATACACACTCAATTAGTGCTGACGTAGCAGAAATACACATGATTTTTCTAGCAAGTTTATTAAGAGATCAATATAAATTTATTTTTTTGACTATAGTCTGTTTAAAAAGTCCGTGCGTGTGACTGTTTTTTGAATAAATCGAGAACGCAAAAAGCTAGAGACCTGGGATTTCCACTAATCGAAAGGGGAGCAGTTAGGACATCTTTCTCTCTGATAATGTCTCAGACAAAATTCTTTTAAAATTGATCATCTTTGAAAAATATAGAAAAGAATGCATGAAAGTGACATACAATACACATGAAGTTTCGATTATGACATTTGATTTAGATAGAGGGACTTCAGATCTATAGTTCAAGATTAGACTTCTGCAAAATGGTCACGGTCACGGTCACGGTCACGGTCACGACGTCTCGTGACCGTGACCGTGACTAGTTTTCGAAAAATTGGCGTGACTGGGATCGTGACCGTGACTAAATAGCTCGTGACCGTGACCAAATGGCTCGTGACCGTGACCAAATGGCTCGTGACCGTGACTTAACAGTGAAAAATTTTGATACTAAAAGTCTGATTTTTGTGAAAAAAAATCTAGATTTTAATTGATTTATGGGTTTTCTTTGTTTTGTTACAGGAAAAATCTACGAAATCAATTTAAATCTTGATTTTGTAGCACAAAAATCCAGCTAGTAATCCAAAATTTCCGTGGCCGTGACGTGACCGTGACTAGTTTCGAAAAATTTCCGTGACTATGAACGTGACCGTGACCAGCTAGCTCGTGACCGTGACGTGATCGTGACTAGTTTCGAAAAATCTTCGTGACTATGAACGTGACCGTGACCAAGCAGCTCGTGACCGTGACGTGACGTGACTGAAAAATCGTGGTCACGCAGAAGTCTATTCAAGATGCAACCCAAATGGCTCTCTAATTGCATTCTAACGTTGACCAAATGAAGTTATGTATTTACATGCATAAATAATAGGGAATTTTACTGATGTTTTACTACGTTTTTACATTTTTTGTCATAACAGTTGGATACTTCGATGAAAATGTAATCAAACGTAAGAAAGTATATTATGTTTTGAACTATAGATCTGAAGTCCCTCCATCTAAATCAAAGGTCATAATCGAAACTTCATGTGTATTGTATGTCACTTTTATGCATTCTTTTCTATATTTTTCAAAGATGATCAATTTTAAAAGAATTTCATCTGAGATATAATCAGAGAGAAAGACGTCCTAACTGCTCCTCTTTCGATTAGTGAAAACTGCAGGTCTCTAGCTGTTTACATTCTCGAGTTATTCAAAAAACAGTCACACGCACAGACTTTTTAAATAGACTATAGTTACATTTTATTCTTGTAGAAAACTATCAATTTCTTTTAAAATTGATTTTGATATTGAATGAGAATGACTCGCATTCGTCTAGTTCTGATAGAAATAAATATTTCCTTATTTAATATTAATTATTAATTTAGGAGTACCTGATCAATCACCTGAACAACATCAACCATTATTAGGTAGTAGTGGAAATGATACAAGTAGTCGTCAGGATTCATTTGATTCACATACATCAACTGATGATGGTTTTGGATTAAATGAAAATTGGCCAACAAAAACAAGGTAAATGATTTTTTTCTCCTTCATTATTACGAAATATAATTCAATTTTTTCTTTTTTTTGTAGAACAATACTATCATCAAATCGAGCAGTACCTGTTAAAAGTTCTGTACCATTAATAAATACGGCTCAACCTCGACCACAAGGAAATGCTAATTCTCGACAATTACCATCTTTACCAATGCCTACAAGACAATTACCATTATTGCCGGATCCTTCACGACAATTACCAACAATTGATGATACAAATTTAACGAAATTATATTTCGATATTAATGATTTAGAACACGAAGATGAACCGTTATCAACAAGATTTACACGTCCTGGAGAATTATTTTATTATCAAACATCATCATCATCATCATCAACGTCATCATCATCTTCATCATCAAATTCAAATAATTTATCATCTGAAGATTCTGAGAATGAAAATAATGAAGAAAAATTTCAAAGTCATGATCAAGAACAAGAAGATGAGGATGATGATGATGATCAGAATTCGCCATGTGAATACGAAGCTTAAATTTTGTTTTTCTTTTTTTTTGTTTGAATAATAAATTATATGAAAGAATCTATTTAAGTTTTCATTTTTCAAGAGAGCAAAACATTCAAAGAAGTTCATATTGTAAGAGAATTGCCAATTTATTAAAAAACTTTCAAATTAAGAATTGAAATGATTTCGATTTTCTGTTGTATTAAGCGACATACAACTGTTTGCTATAAAGACCTTGAACAAAAATAGGCATTTGAAATGAAACAAATATAAATTTTATATTTTCTAACAATCCTTTGACAATTGCACAAAATAAATAACTTTAGCAAAGTATGTTTGTTTTTCTTTTGGATATAAGTAAAATTAATATATCATCTGCGTCCTTAGAAAAAAACTGTTATATACATTCATATTATCAAGGGAAAGTAAACTGATTTCTATACTAGAAATCACAAGAAATTATTTTAATGCCGTAAGGATACGAATCATAACTGAAAGTGATTAAAAATTATCTGAAACCATTAGAAGTCACTCTAAATTATAGAAGATCTCCAGTAATAAGATTAAAAATAAAATCTTGATTTCTATTGATTTTCTTAACTTTCAATAACTGCCAATATTCTTAGTTGTTACTCTTGATTTCTAATGATTTTTCGTGATTTTTCTTTCTTTCTAAACATTGTTGATGGTTCCTATTAATTTGGAGCGAATAGATAAAACTTGTTTCCAGTAATGGAAATCATCAGAAATCAGAGAAATCAATTTGTTCCCCTCTTGTATACTATACTAATCAAGCACATTCATGAGATCAGCTAATGTTCTCAAGTATGGAATAATGATTGTCATGAGCACTCTCTATTCATAATATCAATAAATTACAATAAAGAAATTTATTTAGCTGAGTATCGAAGAATAAGTACTCAATGATATACTTTCAGTATTAAAGTAAAGAGTAATAGATCAATATTTACGCTATCAGTATTAGATAAGACTTCTTGCATACACTAGTAATATTAATAAACAATTTATAAATACTAATGCATCTTCAATAATCGATCGATCAGCTATCAGCCTAAATTTCAATCAAGACAATGGTTGAGCAATATGCTAATTATAATTTCATGACTCGTCAACTATCACTAACTCCATGTAGTCGTCATTTTTTTTCTGGAACTTTGCCAAATTTTCTAGACAATATCGGATTCGTTCAACTCATTGATTATCATCCGGCAAGTTGGGTATCTATCAAACAGCAATTTTTTTCAATTTCCGATAATCGGAAACAAATTGACTCAAGAGGTTCGTGGCTCACACCAGTTCCTACTTGATTTTTTGTGAATCGTTGTATGCGGATCATCGTTAATAAGACATCAAAATTCATCAATATTTTCGGATGTCATCTCAGTTACAGATCGACCAAGTCGTAGCTTATCTTCGCTCTCTTCTCGACCTTCACGAAACTATTCTAACCATATGGCAACTGTATTGTATGGCGAAGGTTCATTGCTAAAAACAGAATATAATTTATCATGAATTGATTTTGATTAGATGTTTTATGTATTACACACTTTAATGTAGAAATGAATATTTTTTCATTTCATCTAAAAATAGAGTGTATAACTATCATCGAACTTTTCCATATAGTATTATCGATTGGCTAATAAATGATAAAATGCAGACCTGTAGAAAACTATTAAGGCTGCACGTGTCAATGAACAGAACTCTTCCCCACACTCGCTGTACTTTGATACCATATATAGATCTCATTACTTTTGATACGTTGTAGGTAACCAAGTCATTAAAAAACTTGAATAGTTTTTTTAAAAAAGAAGACTTTTATAATATTGATATTAATTTTGTAACAAATTATATGGCATCTATGAAAAAGTGATATTTTTCAGTTATTTCATTCAAAAGTCAACGAATAAAATTTTAAATAATGGTGCAATAAAATAATCTTTGTCATCTATTATTTGAATAATGAAATCATTGAAGTAGACATAAATAGAAAGAAATGCCAACAACATAAAATGTCCAAATAATTCTATATACTTCATAGTACGAATAAATACATACAACAGTCGTCAAAAGTTCCACTACCAGGTAAGTAGTATCTCAGCGGAAATCATTTGGCCTCATATTATGGCTATCAACATAGATTTTTTATTCCGACAACGATGTGTCAGCTTGATCAAAAACTCCTACAACGTTTAATATTTCATTAAAAAGCTTAATGTTGTCTCTATCATCAATCAAATTTTCATGCTAAACAATTGTAATTTACCTGATTTTTGGAATTATCTTTGAGTATTTTTAGCATGAGAGTTGATAGAATCCATCAAAAAGTAATTTGTAATACCAACTATCTTAAATCGTATGCTCTGAAATCTTCTCCATTGTACTCTGCTCTAATCAAGTATCTCCTGGAAATTAGAGTGATTATAGCCATTGCTAGCCTGAAGATTTATGCGAAGACTGTCGCAGATAATGGAAGAGTTGCTATACTTCAGGATCACAACACATCGGAGTCTCCTATTTGTGACAGTGTAAATGTGTTTGAAGTTTTATTTGTCAATAAAAAGATAAATACTAACGCTTTTAAATAATGGTGAACTAGAAAAGTGCCACACAAGCTTTTTTATGACATCCAAGAAAAGATGCATTGTTTTTATTCTAAATCCGATGCAATAAGATCTATCTGCCTCGGATTAGTGCTCGCACGATTAGATTTCACCAAGCTCTATCTTGCTAGATATTTTAATTCTTAATCTAAATGAATTTATATATCGATGTATTAATAAAACATTGAATATCTATTTATTTTTTTTAACTTCATCATTATTGTAAAATTAACTATCAGACGAATAGTATCAGTTAATAGTCGATGTTCCAATTCTGTTAATTTTGTTTTTTCTTTAAGTTTTATTAGATCAATTCGAAACATAACTACAATTATATAATTGAAATTTATACAGACGCTTTTTCATTTAAAATAACAAGAGATAACAAAATTTGTATATATATATATATATACGATGCAAAACCAACAAACTAATTTTCGTTCGTATCCTTCTATAAATAAACACAATAGAACTCACGAGGGAATCCATCTGACTGATAATCTCTGTTTGAACCCATATTTTATTCATAGGTAGAACACATAGTGTAGATAAAAATCCTGTGAGAGTTTCTGCCATTAAACCTTTCTTCTCGAGTCATAATCATTTCACTGAACTTTCAGTCTATTACGTGATATCATGAGAAAAATCACAACAAAGAATTTTTCATCCCAAAGTTCTCTCCAACAATAGCTTTCATGGCTTTTATAATATCCTAGCAGTTTTAGTTCACATGGATGTTTTCCTTCTGAGATAACACGTTTGCCAACAACGTTACTTCCAGACAAGAGCTTCAAAAATAGCCCACTTTTTAAACATACGATATCTTAAGAGAAAATCATCTGTTTGAGCTAAAACTTCTAGAATACTATAAGAACCATAAGAGCTATTGTTAGGGAGAACTTTTGAGTAAAAATTCAATAAAATAATCATAACTCGAGAAGTCTAGTGGTACGAATCCTCACAGAATTTTGATCTACATTATGAGTCCTACATATGAGTAAAATATGAGTTCAAACGGAGATTATCATTTGGATGAGTTCCCTCGTCAAAAACAAATTTTTACTATCTAGCAAAACGAAGTCTTTCTTTACTTTTTTTTCAAAACACAATCAAAATGCGATCGATGTAATTTATTCGTGTGTGAAAGCGGACATTTTTTTTTTCTTGACTTATACTTTCATTCTAGAAGTAGACCAATAAACGACCACACATTTTAGAAATCAAACAAGTATACATCATGCATAACCCAATGAATATGACATTAAAAAAAAAACAATTACTTTATTAAAGTTTTTGAGGAACAAAGACATTGCTCATTTTTATTATAAAATCTTCAATGACATTCGAATAAAATATTTCTTCGAAATCATTCGTAATCTTGTTGCAACATATTTTTTAACCAAAAAGAAAACTTGCTATGCACTTTTCATAAAAAAATTTTAAATAAAACCATCTTATTGATGAGTCTATTTATATTATTCCTTTACTATTTTCAAATTTTGTTAATTGTTGAACTTAGAAAGTTTTTTGACATTTTATAAATTATATTACACAATATTCTTCATGATGCTGTTACTTATAATATTATAAAGAGGTATCGTATAGAAAAAAAAGAATTTTCTTAACATTAAATATTTACATGGCAATCTTTTTAACGAAATTTGGATGTAAATATCATAAAGATATTCCATTTCTTCTTTTTTTTTTTAAAATGAATGTAATCATTGTTATGGTAACAACCATGTTGATTTCCCGTATATAAAAAGAAAGTCTATCCTACTCGTCTCATTTTTCCGTCGGCTTTTTTTATTTACTCCGTTGCACCTCCATTTGACGAATGAGATGACTTCAAAAAACAAAAAAAAAATATAAGCTGAGCTACATCTCTATGACACGATATACGAGACATGTAGTCCGTCATACGATATATACATCTTCTAATTTCTTTATTCTCACATTTTCTCATATCATATTATTCTCTTTCTTCTCTTTTTTTTTGTTGGTGAAGCTTTCACGGATTTAATAGGAGGATGATTCATTCATGGATATGCGCCATCGTTCTCCTTTAGGCTGTATGCGCGTCTATGTCAGTGTTTAAGCAATGCGTCTATGCCGTCCGTCCATCTTTTCTGTCTAACTAGAAAGAGGGTGAGCGCGAGCGAAAAAGAGAGAAAAAAAGAGACCGACGTTCGTGGGTTGCTGTTCTTTCACTTTCTCTCGCCCTCTCTCTCTGTCTCGCTTTTTTTATATTATCTCGTCGTCCGTCGAGAATCACAACATTTTTGTCAGTCGTTGCAGATCGACGTCTCTTGCATTTTCGATTCATCTTACACAGAAAACAACCACTTCAAAATGCGTGAAATAGTTCATCTCCAAGCTGGTCAATGTGGTAACCAAATCGGTTCTAAAGTATGTAAATTTTTTTTTTCGATAAGGCTCTTTCATTGCGATTAGGTTTATAGCGAATTAAGAGAATAGTATTTGCATTTTTTTTTCAATATATGTTGACCATTTTTTCTTTTTGTGTAAAACATTAACAGATTTTCCTAATAAAATAATTATCGATTATATGTGCAAGAAAGACAATTTAACATCTCATCAGTATTTAACGATGTCTATATACAAAAAATAGGATAAGTGGAAGAGGAAGAAACGCATACTATTTTCTTTTCTACAGTATTCATTGGATGCATGAATCATCATTATTCTATTTTTAGTTTTGGGAAGTTATTTCGGACGAACATGGTATTGATCCAACTGGTACATATCATGGCGATTCTGATCTTCAACTTGAACGTATCAATGTCTACTATAATGAAGCAGCTGGTAAATAAATTCTTTCAAAATCATTATTCTCTTTAAATTCTTATTTTATTTTAGGTGGCAAATATGTTCCTCGTGCTATTCTTGTTGAT